ACAGATTTTAACTTCTTAATTACGAGCTCAGGGTTGACACATCTTTGTAGGGGGAAAATGTTTTGTCAACCAGTTTTTTGTGTATATGTGTTGCTTGGGTAAATGTCATCCTTTCATAATTGACAAGTGCAAAAGTCAAACACGAGACTTTCTGCCCATTTCTTTATAGCAGGAATACACAATATTTTTTTTTTCAGGCTAAGATCCACATTTGGTCTTTGAATGGTGTGCTGTCATGGGGGGACATACTCTATACAGTAGATATGTATGAAGTCAAGCAAAAAAATAATACATCTTTTTAATCTGAGTTTTCATTAAAATAAGTTACGACTCATATACAGGTAGTCCCTGCTTAGCTACTGTCTCGTACAGCGGCCACAGTCATAACAGTGATCAAAAGTAGCTTTGCAACCAATCCTTGCATTTATGACCTTTGCAGGTCTGTAAAGCAAAGGAAAGCTGAAGTAAGATCATAAGCACAGTTCCAGTTGCACTTAGCAACCGCTTTGCTTAGTGACCAAGTTGCCAGTCCCAATTGTGGTTGCTAAACTAGGACTACCTGTATTCCCCATGTATTTGATAATTTCTACCATTGGTTCTGTTAAGGTGTCAATCTGGGGTAACTTTGGAGGACCTTGGAGGTTGCTTCTAATCTTTGAAGGCTTGCATAAGTTCCACAAGGACAGGGAAGGTGTCCAAAAAGGCAAGCCCCCTTTTTTGTGATATCACATGCACAGTGCATGTAAAAAAGGGACTTTGATCACACAGTTGCAATCACTATCTTGATTTTTTGACAGACTGCCCAGGGATGCCCTTTGCAGTGCTAATTCTTTCCAAACTCATGCATTTGTGCAAATCTATGGAATACAGACATAGAAATATGCAGAACAGCTTGATTTGGTAATGATGATTGTACTCTTATGTGCTTTTCTCCAAGGTCAATCTAACTGCATACAGACTTAAAATATCTGCAGGATGCATCTGGATAACATGATCTGATGTGAAACTGTAATCTACTCTTATGTGATCCCAATGGGGGTACTTCAGACTTGTTCATGAGATCCATAAGCCAAAACCAGATTCAAAGAGATCCACTTTGATTTCAAGAAGACTGAACCAGAAATTTATTTAAAAATTCAGAATTGTACCAGGTTCATGACTCTTCCACTCAAAATTCCACTCCAGGTTCCTCCAGGCCTTGTTCCTTTGGGCAATACAATTTATAGTGGAGGTGAGGAGCCATGCAATTGCTACTGTTCCAAACATTTGGGAGTCAGAAATCAGTCCCTTGCAAACCACCTTGGGAAAAATCAGTCTATCCAGATCTGCTTTCTGCCCAGCCTGCCATTCAAGAGAACCATAAACTTCATACCAATCCATGACCCTTCAGCTCTTCAAAAGCTGTGCCCTCTAGCCAAGCTAGACTGCAGGACATCACAAAGTTTTCTGGGGAAGGAGACAGAAGTAGTTGGTCACTGTCCTCTTCTTGGGTTCTTTCTTGTCCTTGTTTCTCTGCCAAGCCTATGGCCCTGGGTGGTTTTGCATCTGAGTTCTAACCAGGGCCAGCCACACTCAGTTTCCGATGGCAGACAGTGGCAGCCACTTGCAAAGATCTGGATATTGATGAACCACCTTGTGTTAGGAGAGAAAATGTCAGTCACATGCTTACCTTGAAGTCTGCTGGCTGGGGAATTCTGAGAGTTGAAGTCCACACATCTTAAAGTCTTAAATTTAAGACTGACATCCACTACAGTAATCTGTCTGCTGGAGCAGCCTTTATTCATATTTGTACAGATTATTCTACTGATATTTTCTGAGCAGAATAGGTGTCTCCTCTGATTAATTAACTTCGTTCACTTTTCTCAAAATTTAAGGAAAAAGAAGTTTTCACATTCCAAGATTTTTTGCAATACTTTTTGTTTTTCTGATGTCATCCATTTAAAAAAAATTATACTTTAGCCTTCCTCAAGCTACTATCTCCTAATATATAGCTCTTCTGATCCCCAGCAGACATATTAAACATGTCTGAACAGCAGCTGCTTGAACACATTGTTTTAACATTAAAGTCCAACACTTGGAATTATTCAAGAATTGTTCCTGTTCGGATCAATTCTGTACTGTATCTGGTTATGCAGTTTAGATGGTTACTCTTTATACCTGAGTACCATTCTGACTATGTAGGAAGTCAGACTTCCTCACTTGTTGCTGATGCTTCTCAGTTGGGGTCCAGCTATACTGAAATGGCTTTTGTGTCTCTCCATTAACAAAAGATTTGGCCCAAATTTGAAGGGACAAAACTTGTGATCTCATTGTGTGCCTGGTTTCTCATGGCTGATTGAGGGTAGCAGCAGCCTGAGTTTCTCAAAAGAAATATTGGATTATGATCAAGAGTAGGATCAGCCCAAAGGTAGCTCTGATGAAAATGCTGGTGGCTATGCAGTAACCATGGTTCCATCTCCCCAACCAGAGCTGATGCTGACTGGTGTTATTAACTCACAGGGAACTCAGATAGTGTGTCTCCATTTAACCACCTCAATTGTATGTATGAATTACCATGTGAGTTAAATCAGGAATGAATTTGTCCCATCATATTTCTCTGTTTATTTCTTCACAGTAGGTACCATGACTGCTTTGTGTCAGATGTGCACAAGGCTCTCAAATACCCGCTAGAGGTTAAATTGTTTTTTTCTCATACGTCACATTGCCTTGGAATGTGAAAGAGCTATTAAATCTACCAAGTGTGTTGAATTTCAGAATTAGGAAATAAAAATGTAAAAACCTGGTGCTTCTTAAACACAAGTATTCTATATCATTTGATGTGCTTTTCTTTACTTTGCTTATAATCATTGCTTGTCTCTTGGAAATACTTAGATATTGCTGTGTCACAGTGCAAAAAACAAAAAACCCTGTTGATGGCCCAGTATAACAAACAACACCTACATTGCTTTCCAGTGAATGTGCCCTGCACAAGCTTGCTCCGGTCAGTGTAGCAGATTCAAAGTCTTACGTAGGTAGCATGATGTGGTTAAGATAGCAGCACATACCGACCTAAAACCTCTGCTGCCCTTATCATTCTAAAGAAGGTCACAGCAACAAATGTTCCTAACACAAACATTTATGCTCTTTCTATCATGAGAAAAATGTGAGAATCAACCACCATGGCCTAAATCAAAAATGTGCAGGTGGATCAATTCCATCTATGAGCTGACTAGACTCATTTTTTTTTTACCAGGAAGATTATGGAGCTCAGGGGTGGGATTTCTAAGGTGTAATGTACTCTCTTCTTACCTTTTTAGCCAGATAATCATTCTGGTTTAATTCCAAAAACTCCAAAGGCTTCTCACAGTAGTATCAACTATATGTTTTCAGCCCTCTGCTAGTCCCTTTCACAAACTACAGGCTCCATCAGGAGAATCATTTAGCAGTTATGAAAAGTCTCTGGCTTCAACAGATCACATTTTTCTGGGATTCAGCCCTATATAAGTGCAAGCCCAGAATCAACAGTGTAATGCCTGTAGATTTCCAATTTTTGGCTGAAAATGCTACCACTCTGGTCAGTTGTTACATCATCATCACCATCATCATACACACAACAACGTGAAATCCCAGCTGCCAGTTCTTTAGCTGGTGTTGGCCTTCATTCACACTGAGTTCTGCCCAAGAACCTAGGATGTCGTAATGTATCAGCATAGCATATATGCAGATCAAAGCAGTGTGGCCTTTTTAATTGACAGATGGAAATGTTGTCAATGTGCACATTTTCTAAATGCTGTGCCAATAACCACTGGGACCACCACTGTCAGTTTATGCCATAATCTTTCAACTTTGTTTTTCAGATCTTGATACTTTGTGATCTTCTCCAATTCTTTGTCTTCTATTCTACTATCCTCTGGTATTGCCATATCAATTATCCACACTTTCTTCTTTTCAACTATAGTTAAATCTGGTGGGT